TTTCTTCTTTCTTTTATTTCTCTTTTCTTTCCTTCTCCTACCAACAACTACCTCCTCTTTATTTATATTTCTTCCTAATCTGTAATCTAATATGCTAATTGAATGGTCAAGATGTAATAAACAACTAAAATTTACCTTGGCCGTTTCGATCTGCTCGACCCCGACAATCGAATCACTAACCTGGAAACTGGTGGCCAAAATGGTCCAGTTTCTGGACAATTTTTTAAATATTGGACAAAATCATGTACATCCGGCTAGGCTGGACTACCTAACTGTGGGCCCCATTTAGGCCCAGCTAGTCTCCAACCAAATATGAGTATGACAGGGGAAGATCTCACTTATAAGAATTTGACAGATTAAACCCACCCAATGAATGGATTTTGACGATCTTTAGTGTAGGGGATGGCATCTCCATCCTCTCATGTAAGACGTATTATTTCTAATTGGAAAATTAATTATGAAACACAGAGCTAGCATCATAATAGTGCTGCAGGGTGCTGCCCCAAATTCTCCATTCACATTTTCCGGTCTATACACATAAAATGAACATTAATGTATCTACTTTAGGTGAGTGGTGCGTGACAAATGAAAAAAACAATGGAAGGGAAAATAAATACACCAAAGTAATGATGTTGTCGACATGATGATGTCAAATTCTCAAAAGAAATATTGGTATTGGTATTACAGAGAGTTTTCTTTTTAAATGTATTAAGTCAGTGTTGTTGGATCTAAAGTTTAAAAACATTTACAGAAATATTTTTTGGAAACATTAACATATGAATAAGATGGTGCTATTAATTAACGTATTCAGATTTAACTATTATGGCTTTGTATATAAAGCAAAGCCAAGCGTAATGGCCCACTGGGGAGGGCAATGACTTATCTTTTGGTTAAAAGAAAAAAAGAAAAATCAAGAGAGCCAAATTGACGGTGTCCGTCAATCGTTTCGAAGAACTGTCTACTTCAGCCTTTGAAGAGCTTATCCGGAGCAATTCAAAGCCGTTGAACCAGCTTACCTGAATCTTCGATTCAACCCTTGAAAACATGTTAATGAGTTCATCACACTGGATGACTAATATCAATCTATTTTTCAGCTTGGTATTTAGGCCTTCATCGTTTTTATTCACTCAAGTAGGGTTATCGAAGCAAGTGTTTTCCATCCAAAACTTGCCCTAATAAACAAGTTTCTTGCAACATTCTTTTACACTATCATATACTTGGATAAAGAGATGTGAGAGGGAGAGATCATTTATCGGTTTTTACAAGTACTAGTAAAAGTGTACGTGACAATATCAAATGATGATGATAATAGTCAACAACCAAATGACCTTAGTGATTGAACCATTAAGACATTATTTTTTTTTGTATTTTAACCATTTCTATTTTTACTAATAATAAATCTCATTTTTTTAAACATATTTTTTTAATATAAAGAATATATAATACTAATGTATGTTCAAATTTTTTATAAAATTTATAAAAAATTATATATTTTTATTTTTTTATTATTTAGTTTATGAGATAATAAAAAATTACTTATTTATCAAGAGGAAATGCAATTCCTATATATTGTTTGAACATTGGTTTTTAATATTGTGGTCAAATCAATTATTTATATATATAGTATATATTATTTATATATAATATATATGTTATTTATTATTTATTTATAAATATGCTATTTATATTGCATTTTCGTAAACTTCTTATATGATAAAAATAGTTGAAAAAATACTTATATTTTTTTGTTTTTCTTTGTTTCAATTATTATATTTTTTTTCTTTTAATAATTTATTATTTTTTAAATTAAATCAGGTCGTATCAGATTCAGATATCTAACATATTGATCGGATTTAGATTTGAATTAATATTTATGAGATCCAATCAGATCTTCAGATTAAATCGAATTTAAATATACATTGATTCAAATCCGATCCGATCTATTTGGATCCCTACCAAATCACTTGTCTACAATGACATAGTTAATTAAATCATTGAACCATTTGACATAACTAGTGGGGTCATGTCTTTGACATTAATACTCTTTAATTTTATCCCATTTCCATCACTAATGAAAATAATTCTCATTAATCATACTTTTTTTATGATGAATATATAATATTGTAGAATGTACCCAAAATTATCTATAAATTTTTACATTTTCTAAAATTTTATGTATTTATTATTTAATAATAACATCATGTGTTGATCCATTTGACATAGATACTTGAACCACTAACCCACCACTTGGATGGAAAAAGTAATTCTTATTTACGCATCAGTAAAAGTAATTCTTATTTAATAATAACATCATGTGTTAAATCACGTATTACATTTCTATCATCAGTAAAAGTAATTCTTATTTACACATTTATTTTTGCATGTGACAATACCAAATAATGATGATGATAATAATCATTAACCAAAGGACCTTATTAGTTGAACTATTAACCTATTTAATCAGTAAAATGGACTATGATTAAGACATTAATTCATTTTTTTCTTTGTATTTTAACCATTTCTATCTTTACAAACAATAAATCTCGTTGTTTTCAAACATATTTTTGTTTAATATGAATAATATATAATATTAATGTATGTTCAAATTTTCATAAAAATTATAAAAAAATTTATATTTATATTTATATTTTTTATTATTTAATTTATGATATAATAAAATTTACTTATTTACCAAGAGGAAATGCAATTCCTATATATTATTTGAACATTGGTTTTTAATATTGTGGTCAAATAAATTATTTAATTATTTATATACATATAGTATATATATATATATTCTTTATATATGATATATATGTTATTTATTATTTATTTATAAATATGTTATTTATATTGCATTTTTGTATACTTTTTATATGATGGGAATAGTTGAAAAAATACTTATAGTTTTTGTTTTTTATTTCAACTGCTAGATATTTCTTTTTCTTTTAATAATTCATTACTTTTTTTAAAAAAAAAAATCAAATCGGATCATATCAGATTCGAATATCTGGCATCTTGATCGGATTCGGATTCAAATCAATATTTATGAGATCCGGTTGAATCTTTGGATCAGATAAGATTAGAATATACCCTAATTTCAATATGATTTGATCTGTTTGCATTTCTACCAAACCACTTGACTAAGATTTCATAGCTAATTAAATTATTGAACCATTTGACATGGTTAGTCGAGTCATGTGTTAGACATTAATGCTCTTTATTTTTATCATCAATGAAAATAATTTTCATTAATCACACTTTTGTATATGATGAATATATAATATTATAGAATGTACCTAAAATTATCAACAAATTTCTACATTTTTCTAGAATTTTATGTATTTTATTATTTAGTAATAACACCCATTTGACATAGATAGTTTAACCACTAACCATCACTAGGATGGAAAAACCATTTTGTTTTTTGGTTGATTTTGAATCATGTATTCCGTTTTCATCATCGATAAAAGTAATTCTTATTTTCACATGTATTTTGAATCATGTTTTTTGGTTGATCTACCTACCATCTAGATATGGAAATAGCTTCATTTTCAAACTGGTTTTAAATTTTGTATTTCATTATATCATTAATAAAATAATTATTATTTATCGTACTTATTTTTGTTTATATTATATATTAGTGTATAATATTATATATGTGCCCAAAATTGTTTCATATTTTTTTGTACTATTCTATTTTAAAAAAATTATTTACATCATGGGTTAACCTATTTAACCTAAAAGGTTGAACTACTAACTCACCCCCTAAATAGGAAGATGGTTTAATTTCCCATCGATTTTAAGTTGTATATTTGATGTCTATCATTAATAAAATTACGTCTATTTTATCATAGTTATTTTTTAATATGATAAGTATATAATAATAGAAATGTGTCCAATTTTTTTTCAAAATTTCTTTTTTTCTATATATTTTGTATTTCTTATATTTCTAAATTTGTATTCTTTATTTATGACATCATAAATCATAATTATCCATTTGACCCAAATGGTTGAAGTACTTATGCATGACTTAGATGGAAAAAATGAATTGATTTCTAGGTTTATTTTAAAAATCTAAAATTTCATTCTATTAATAATTATTGTGTATGGGTTTATTAGTAGAATTTAATGATGATAAACAAAAGTATTTTTTATATTTATTAATTTATATTATTTATTTATGACATCATGAAATTATCCATTTGACCCAAATGTTTGAACTACTTATCCACCACCTAGATGAAAAATATGATTTCATTTCTATGTTTATTTTAAAAATATAAAATTTTATTCTATTAATAATTTTGTGTATGGATTTATTAATAGAATTGAATGATGATAAACAAAAGTATAAATGTTGGATTCAATGAGAGAGAATGTGATTTATTTCATGACTTAAATGTGAGACTTAATAAGAGGTAATTGAATGTATTTAATGATATTATTTTAATTACATTAAGAGGAGGGGTATTTTAGTAAAGAAAAATTCTAGAAGGCAATACCTACTCATTCACACTTTTATAAGTAGTATAGATGTGGGTAAGTTGTTTATTCATCTCAGAAGAGGATATATTTTCAGTTATCCTGATTTACAAGAAAACCCGATATAAGAGCAAATGAATGCAAATACTAAGGTTAATTTATTGGTTGACCAACTTACCCCCACTAAATACTACAAAGGAATGTGAGTATAATGAACTTAAGGCCCCATTTTCTTTTCGATAAGTTATTTACCCAGGTAAATACATTTACTCATTTGCCCATGTTCCTTTATTTTCCATGTAAATATTGCAATGATCATTTTAGCCATAAAAATCCAATATTAAAAGGGACATTTTTATCCCATTCAAGTGTTGATTTTCCCTCAACTGAGAATGCTATTTATCCATTTAGGAGATGGATATCCCTGATACCCACATATATTTTAAAAAAAAACATGGATTTCTCGGTTAATGAGAATCAAAATCCCATTAACCAACTTTCCCAATACTCCCTAATTGATTACTGTTAAACATTGCACTAAATCCAGAGGAGAGAGTCATATCAAGTACAAAGAATTAATAATAGTGACACGTACATTACAACTGCAAACAAATTCAATGTGGCCAACTTGCCATCCGGTGGTTTAGACTTTAGAGGTGGCGATCATCCAACGCCTAATTAAAAACTGAACCAAGTTTCCTCATCGATCCTTATTCTATTTGAAGCGATTCTTGCTTGTGCTTGTCTTCCCATTTATTCAAGCGTTTTGCTGCTTCTTCCACCTGTAATTCATTTCGCTCCAACTAACGAGGTAAGTATATATGTTTCTACTCCACACACAGACATATATATATATATATAGACAGAAGAGAAGACAGATGTTTGCTGTATTAATTTTCCCTTCTTAATTTTACTCGATTAACAAGATTACGTTTTTCATCATCTTATCAATCAAATTTTTTCTTTCTTTTTTTCAGTGGTTTTTTATATGCAATCCCTGTAATGTAGAGGGCTTATTTGCTTTTTATTTGAGAAGAAGATGGTTTAAGGCACTCACCTCTCGTTTCCAATCTGTCCGACATGCAACCCACAATAAAATGATGGTCTGCATCAGAGTGCCCCCGATCATCCCGGACCATATGCCCTATGTACACAAATCGATGATCATGGGTTCTACCACACCAAAGAATAGTTTGTTAATTTAGGTGCTGATTGGCAAGTATTTTTAAGTAGATCTTTGATCTTTCCATAACCTAGCCAATCAGAGAACACATTGAAATTTCTTTAAGACTCAATTTAGAAAGAGTATACAAATACAAATATGTACAGCACAAATACATGCATACAAAATACAAATTGAGCCTAAAGTCCAAGATTGTTTGGTAAGTATTTATTGTCTTGGTCTACCAGGTTGTTAAAAACAGATTGGAAAGCTATTTAAAACACTGAAAGACCACCCACCAACATCATTTGAAGTTTCTCAAATTTTTGACTATTTTGATCATTCCACATGCACCTTCCGGTTTACAAGATAGCAAATAGAAAGACCATTTTTGCTAGCTAGCCTACATCAGTCATAAAATACGTGGGGCCTAAAATCATTAAACTTCTACGTATGGACTCCATGTATTTTATCACTGGTGTGAAGTATTATCATTGATTCCACAGCTTGCTATACAGCTAAAGCGTTCAACTAATAAAAATTCTATTTGTAAGAGAACATATAGCTGTGAATATATAATATTGCATTTGTACAAGAAATAACCAATTCATTATAATGTCTAGTTATGAGTTGGAGATAAAATCATACATACCGGCTGGATTATATATCATAATTAAACATGCCAGTATTCACTGCAGATGGATCCACAGTGAACATTGGTGTGTCCACTTGTGATTGATAGCCCAGCCCAGTGTGTATAATTTTGTCTCCAGCCAATCCAGTCTCATTACGTACCTTAGCGCCAAGGTCAAACTTAAAGCCAAGTAGAGCCCCCAATGGGATTCCAACAAAGTAGTAGCATCCCACGTTAACATAAGCAACAAAAACTTGCCATCCACACCCAACAGCCACACCTTCAAAATGCATTCACAATTATAAACAACATACCTTGCTTTTGGAGGTTAGACCTTAGACATCTCAGTAAAAGAAAAAATATGATATGTCAGTTATATATATATAATCACAAAATAGGTACCGTAGTTTTTCTTCTTTTTTTTTTAAAAAAAAAAACTTTAAAGCAGAGTGAATGAAAGGCGTTTTTCCTAAATTAATGTCTAGATTACTTGAGCTCCATAACTAAGACTAAATTTGTTTGCAGTTTAAGTGCACCGGTGTAAATGCATGAGAATGCACATACTGAATGAAGAGTTTTGGGTTGCTTCACAAAGTAAAACAAGTAATATGATGTAATGCTTACCTAGAATGAATAAGGAGGTAGATTATTTTTGCATTGGTTTTTTAATGTAAAATTTGCACCGCTAGGCCAATAACCAAATTAGTAAAAAGTACAAAATATATGTAAGAATGTAAATTTTTATAATCACAAATAAATGGATGCAAAACTAAACCAGGTGCAAATTTTATATATGGTTCAGATTTACACTGCAAAACAAGGGAAAAACCTTGGGCGTTGGGAATGTTGTTGGGTATGATATGCCAATTCATTCAGTTCCTTATTTGTCTTTTACCCCACACCCATAGTAGCGTATTGATATATCACATCAAGCAGAGGTGTCAATGAATTAGATTTGGGTTGGATTTCATCAAAATCAAAATTAATTTGGACAGATTGGGCAGACCAATAGAGTATTAAAATCAATTTGAATAGATTTGATGGCCCAGACATTAAATTGGATTGCTGCAAAATGGTCCAGAGTATTTCATCGGATTGGATTGGACTTGGTCCATTTGTAATGGATTCATATGAGACCAGATCGGATTAAACCAAATCTAGTCCAATTGACCCCCTATATCCAAGAACGTTCCCAACGATCAAAGTTTATTTCATGGTTTTTAAAATCGAACTGGCGACCGAACCGGTCAGAGGTCCGGTTACCAGATTGAATGGTCCGACTGTTCAACCCGAACGATCGGCCCGTTCTGACAAAAAAAATAAAAAATTGAAAAATGATCAAAACTGTTCGAATGATTAACCAACCGGTTCAGCGGTTTACTGACCAAAATCAACGATTTTGAGAAAAAACATATGACCGGTTCCCAATTTTTCCGGTCCAACCATCCGGTCCGATCCGGTTTTGAAAACCATGGTTTATTTATTTATTTGGCATAGGAGACATCCTCCAGTAAATGCATGATATTCGCAGCTTCATGAAAAGAAGAAATGCCCGTACCCGAGAGCACGGGTTGGATCCCATTGAGAACTACGGTAATGGCTAACAAGGGGCATAGGTCTGACACCGCATCGGCCACGTATTCACCCTCAGTGAAGGCATAGCTGATGACATGGCGTAGTGCAAGCAGAATTATGGCTATGATCACAGATATGATGAAACACGATGATGTTGCAACCACCACAGAGAATGCTGCTGATCTTTCGTTCCCTGCTCCCAGCTCGTTGCTCACCCGAACACTGCATGTGTATAGTTAGTCCTTTACGGTTTACCACTCAAAATAATCTTAAGCCTTAGCCCATCACCATAAGTATGACTATATCCATATAAAGCCCAATCTGAGCACGCAGATTTGGGCCCCCAGTAATCACCATAATCCTTCTTATCGACCCAAACCAATTGATCCTACTATGGGCCTAAAAAAAATCATCTACCGTGACTCCATGAGCCAAATGGGTCGTCCTACATGTTCATTCCCCCCTTAAAAAAATGAAAAGCAAAGGAGACTGACCTTACAGCTGCATTGAAGCCCAATGAAACCATGAAAACGAGACCAGACATCATCGTGCTGCATTCGGTAGAATTTCACACAATCAGTGATCAGTTTAACGAGTTAAAATCTGCATCGCACAAAGGGGCACCCCACAATGTCCCACAGTACGACCAGGCCATGTATTAGGAACATCTCCTGATGATGACATCATCAATTCTGATATATCATCAGGAAATGTTATCAATACACGACGAAAATGTGCTATAAGACATTGTGGGGCATAAATCTGAACTCCAGTTTAACACCATTACCAATCACCAGTTTGATTTACTATAAAAGATGAGGACTTTTGATCTTGTTAATTAGTGACCAGGTTTCTTAGCAGTTCCAATAAATAAAATGGTTTTCCTACATGGTTCTACAATACCGATTTCCATCTGTTGAGAACATGAGACATACATCTGCCAAAAATATAGCGTAGTGCATGATTTGAGTTGAGCCCTAAGACTTTGGAGTTCACTTTTGCTACAATACTACCACAGAGAATCATGACCTTTAGATGTACTGCAATGGCCCATCTGATTCAAGGTGGGCACATCACAACAAATAAAAGGCTTTGATTTAATATTTCCAGCGCAAGGATACGACGCTGTCGTAGCAAATGTGGCTTGTAGGACTTGGGTGCAGATGTGTAACGCCTTACTAATTAATAGGGAAAATTTCCCATTACTATCTTATACTTTGTGTCTAGTGCCACTTTGGTTCTCAAACTTTAAAATGCGATAATTCAGTATTTGAATTTTCAAAACGTAATATTTTAGTACCTGTCATTAATCAGCAGTTAGTCTTCTGTTAAGTGACATTTGAAAATGACATAAATGTCCTTTGAGTGTTATTTAATTATCTTTATCAACCATCTAAACATTGACAAAAATTTAACAGTCCCAAATTAGCTGTTAATTAGCCCTTAACTAGTCATTAATTAGCTGTTAATCAACCGTTAAATGATATTTCAAAAGATACAAATGTTTTTTGAGTGTCATCTAATTTTCTTTATCAACTGTTTAAACATTGACAAAAGAATTAATAGTCCAAAATCCTTGCTTCTTCTATTCAARAAAGTTGGRGTTAC